TGATTTATGCTCAGCTCGTGATCTTGTGGTTTGTCGGTTTGAGACCTGAGTCGGGCTCTGTACTGGCCGTGTGGAGCCTCCTTGGGATTCTCTCTCTCTCCCTGTCCCTCCCCTGCTCACGCTCTCTCTCTCTTGAAATAAACTTTAAAAAAATTTAAAAAGGGGCACCTGGATGGCTCAGTCAATTAAGCGTCTGACTTCAGCTCAGGTCATGGTCTCACGGTTCGTGAGTTTGAGCTCCCCATCAGGCTCTGTGCTGACAGCTCGGAGCCTGGAGCCTGCTTCGGATTCTGTGTCCACCTCCCTCACTCTCTGCACACCGCCCCCCCCCCCCATGCTCTGTCTCTCAAAAATGAATAAACGTTAAAAAAAACTTAAATCAGGAAAAGTGGGTTTCTAGAGAGGCCATGCCAGAAAGAGTTATAGGAAGAACTCACAAGAAGAACAAGTAATAGCCCAGGGCTGAAGTGATGTCCTAATGTGTGGAAGAGACCAGCAGCTTTAGGAAGAAATTCATGATCTCAATGCCATCTTTATCGGTCAGGGTTCTCTAGGAAAACAGAACAGGTAGAATATATATAGACACATACGAAGAGATTTATTATGGGAACTGGCACACACAATAACAGAAGCTGAGGAGTCCCCTCCTCTGTCTCACGCAAGCTGGAGGCAAGCTGGTGGTACGGTTCCAATCCAAGCCTGAAGGCCCGAGAACCAGGAGGTCCAAGGTCCAAGAAAAGAAGATGAAATGTCACAGCGCAAGGGAAAAAAGCTTTCACCCTTCCTCTGTATTTGTTCTGTTCAAGCCCTCAATGGATTGGATGATCCCCACGCGCACTGGTGAGGGCGATCTTTACTCCTTCACCAAGTCAAAAGCTAATCTCTCCCCGAAACATCCTCACAGATATGTCCAGCAATAATGTTTTGCCTGCTATCTGGGCATCCCTCAGCCCAGTTAAGCTGACACATAAAATTAATCATCATGGGGCGCCTGGGTGGCTCAGTGGGTTGAGAGTCCGACTTCGGCTCGGATCATGATCTCACGGCTCGTGGGTTCGAGCCCCGCATCGGGCTCTGTGCTGATGGCTTGGCGCCTGGAGCCTGCTTCGGATTCTTTGTCTCTCCCTCTCTGCCCCTAACCCACTCGCATTCTGTTTCTCTCTCAAAAATAAGTAAACGTTTAAAAAAAATTTTTTTTAAGTCAATCATCACGCCCTCTGAGAACACCCATTACCATTTGAAAGTATGCTCAGTACAGCCTAGCGGAGTATGTACCAGAAACTTGAAACCGGTAGCCTCAAGCCTCAGGTACGCGGTGACACAGGCTGACGATAAGGTGGATGGCTTCACCTCCACGCAGCTCTCTAGATGGCAGACATTTGAAACGATGAGCCTTGACTTCAACATACTGGATCCTCTTCTCTGGTCCTCTGGAACATCATTTCTAGACAGACACTAACCCCAAAATGTTAAACAATACAACTATTTTCTTCCCTCCCCACCTGGATTCTTGATCTTGAATGGCTGGCCAGAGACCTCGAGGTCACCCAATTGCTCCTTTTTCTTCATGCCCAGACTGTTCATGTTGAAGCTGTCCTGACATTATTCTCAAGCCATCCTCTGTCCTTGCCATCGTACCTCCCTTAGAGCCTTCCTGTGTCCCCTAATGCGTGCTATCCACACACACCAGAATTATCTTCCTAAGCACTAATGTCACTTCCCCGCTCAAAAACTCTTCAATGAGTTTTCCGTTTTCCAACAGAATCAAGACCACGCTCCTCAGCAGAACATACAAGATTCCTATCTGGCCCAACTTTTATTTTCTTTTCCTCTCTCTTCTATCCCTCAGTGCAAAGGTCTAGCCACAGCAGAACACCTGCTCTTTCAGGAACACGTGAAATTCTGCTCATTTGCTCACAACATTCCTTTAGCCTCAAATGTCCTTATTTCATTAAGTGTCTATCGTGAGCCAGGCAGTTTCAAGTGCTGACGTTATAAATAAGACAGACAAGGGGGCGCCTGGCTGGCTTGGCTGGTGGAGCATAGGACTCTTGATCTTGGGGTCAGGAGTTTGAGCCCCATGTGTGGGGGTAGA